GTTGGTGCTGCACTGCTTCCCCCTCCTGAGATGCCGGATGGTGGACCAGAATCGCCTCGAAGCCGTGTGGAAGTCTTTCTCCATGGTCTCTCCAAACTCCTCCCACGCCCGGGTTTTTGCCTTTTGCATATTATTTGTTGTTATATTATTTGTTGTTATATTATTTGTTGTTATATTATTTGTATATATTATTTGTTTGTCACTAGTTGAGCTTGTTAACAGGTGTGTGTGATTCTTTAAATAAACTCAGTTCATCTGATGTGGAAGAAGCTGAACCTCCTGCTCTTATTAAACTCATGATACTTCTGAAGAGCTGTTATGATTGTTCAGAACCGGACAGCCACTTCCTGTTCCTCCTTTGAATTGGACCTGTAGCACAGTTTTTCTTACACATACGGGTCAGGACAAAGAACCAGTGCTGGTGAGAACCACTGAAGACTCCCAGTTCAGATCCAGAGCCTGGCCTGGTGTTCAGGTAGTCATTTCTCAGTAAAGGTTAGAAACTAAAGCAGTACTAGAAGCTGTACTACAGTCATACTTTCAACACTTTGTACTGGGTTTTGTACTGCAGTACTTCTCTAAAGTCTGAGTATCTGTCAGGATCTAACTTTAAACTTGTTTTTGTCTCAACAACATAACAGACATTTGTATTCAACACTTTAACAAGAGTTTAACAAAACGTGAAACATTTATTTCAAATGTCAGAGTTTTGTTAGAAAAGAGCCCAACAATAAGAGTAAAGTACTCGTGGAATGCTGCTTGGTAAATGGACCCAGAAACACGTGATGATCCCAGCCTGGACTGGTCCAGTCCTACTCCTTGGCGATAGCAAACGGCTTGTCCACCTCAATCTTTCCACAGTCATGGATGATGACGTCTTTCAGAGGTTTGTCTCTGCCGTCTGTCTTTGTGTTCTCGATCTTTGTCACCACATCCTGCAGAACAAAAACAATGTTGTGTGTTTGTCAAGGCTTTTATACAACAACTGGTTTAAATTAAACATTACTGGTTTTACTGGTCTTCAGCAGAAATGTTAGATTCATTGATTCAAGTATTTTTCACATTTGTGCTGAGCACTAACAGTCTGAACTGATACTGAACATCTGTTTAACCATGTACTACTACTACTACTACTACTACTACTACTACTACTACTACTACTACTACTACTACTACTACTACTACTACTACTACTACTACTGCT